ACGACAAAGGAATCATCAAATATGGAGACATAACGAGCAGTAACGCCCTTTCATTCAATAGCGCGAGCGCTTCTGTCCCCTCTTTCTAATCGACTATAAGTTCAAGAACAGGACAGACACACAAGAACAGCATATTCAGTACAGCATTAAACCTTCTAGAACGGAAACAACAGCAATCCTGAGATGAAAATAAAAGAATCCGAGAGGATTGTTGATAAAAGACTTAACAATAGGAAGACTAGACAAAAACTAATTAAATAAAATTAGTTTTTCCTAAAGTTCCAACGTGGAGTCAGCTAGCGAACGTACATGAACGGGAAGAAACCGGTGTTACGAGTGGCTGAGACGACGACGGAATCGAAATGATGAAAAGGAGAGCGCGTGGAGGTCGGTTAGTGCCCGCAATGCGAAATAGCACAGCTGGATGGGAGGCCACGTGAGCCATCACACAGGTCATTCGAACCCATCGCTGACCCACAAGTGAGAGCGAATGTCCGAGGAAAAGTGCAGGTACTCGGATCAATGTCTTTTGAATGTTTTGACTGGAGCCGAAAACAGCCACAGAATCTACGGAGAATCCTCAAATCAAATCAGATAATCACCGAACTATCCCCGGAACGCGCCACGCACTCCACTTTTATTTGAAAACATGGTGGCACCATTTCCACCATTTATGCCGTCCAGCGCCCGCAACAGTTGGTGCAAGAAGCGGCACTGGCTGCACTCCAATCCACACTCTCCCTCACGCACATCCTCGTTTGCAGGGATAACGACCGTACAGATGAATGTCCAATTTAGTGCTCTGAACAAGATGAAACATGGGAATATGGCCTTGAAAAGCGGTTTGGTCTTTGCAGTGATTCACGGAGGCTAACCACTAACCAATACAGTGCATCCTCCCAGAAAATGTGAATAACCTACTTTCATGCAACAATTACAATCATTGTTCACAACAACGAACCCTGGAAATCCTGGGATCACAGTTTATTGACGGCCTAACGTTTCGACCAGATCGTCGTCCTCGGATTCCAAGTCAATTGAGAAAATACTACTAACAATTGACTGGGCGGCTTCTTCCGCTCTTGCCGCGGTGGACTTGGCCTCCGAGGACGACGATCTGGTCGAAACGTTAGGCCGTTCAATAAACAGTTCCACCTAACAACCTCGCAGGCACAAAAGAATTACACACAAATAACAACGATGCCGAGGTTCTAGGAAGAAAGAAACTGGAGACCTGGGATCACATTTTTCCAACACGATGATTTCGGGAGGGAGGAGGGAGAGGATAGAGATGGAGATGTAGATGAGTTTCAGCTGTGTGGTGCTTAGTACCTATTAACGAATCATGAAAGAAAAGAAAGCTTGATCAGCCAAGACGGGGCCGATTATTAAACCTCATTATACAGTATGGGCGGTGGTAATGCAGTAACAAGTGGTCCCTTACTACGCGCCTGGTCCATTAGTCAAATTTCGGACGGCTTCGGAACAATCTGTTGAAGGCACCGACCGTGAGGTCGAATTCAGCCTACGGCAGTATGCCCTACCTTCAGGATCAGTTAGCAAAGCTCAATGGAAGATTGACTGGATCCCGCTAGGTAGTGCACATTACTGCATAGACCATCATATGCCGCCAACGCTTTTGAATGAGAGTGTCCATGAACAAGCCCCAAATGCAATAACGGATGTCGAGCTTTCGATCTTTTATTTATCAAACTGCCGAGCTGAGATTTGGGAGGGGCGTGACCTAACAGGACGATGCTCTGACTTCCCCGCTCTACTTCTTAGTGATGGAGACCGTCGACGATCGGACATCAGAGACGAAGCCTACTCGAAGATCAGTGGGTCAGATCATGCGTTTTGAGGACGACCGATGGACCACTGCGATTACCGACTGCATTCGAAGTGATGCCGAACGAACACCCTGCAATGGTCCGGCTTCTTGGGAAAAACTCTGGACAAATGTTGTGATGTTCGCGTCCCTCGCACACAAAGAACTCATTAGGCACTTTCTTGGGCGTCCCAGGGACAATGGAAACGTTACCGGCATCCGCTAACACTCCTCAGTATAACAGGAGAAAGAGATCCGCTGTTCTTTCTTAGAGCAATATGGGCTCCTCACCAGCCCTTCCAACTGAGGAATACCATAAAACAAAAAAAATACCTATAACAGATAGCACTCTCCTTTCATAGGAGTTGACAGTGTCGCAGAACACAGGAGTGAAGTGAACGAAAGATGATATTAACGAAGGATGGGAAGACACTTTTGTACTACTGGCACTTATGAAAAAGGTCCACTCCAAAAAATCCATTGAGTCGACAAAAAGCCAGGGAATTCGAGTGGCCTCCGCATGCTAAGCTGGATCTGGTTGACCGCAGTGAGATCTCTCTCAAAGGCGAGAGCGGGTTCAGTCCGTTAATACTGCAGTAGGCACGACGTAGTACGCTCGGGAATCGCCAGCGAGGGATCGTGTTTGGTCGTTGAAAGAAAGCTCGTTTGGCCGCCGGGAGCGGGGGGGGGAGGGATCGTGTTTGACTGGAAAGAATCTTCGACAGCCTGTTTTCCTATTTCAGCGCGGCGCTCTCACAGTGTCGTTAGAAACCTCCTAATATGGAGGTGTGCTATAAACGTTCGTCTCCTGTAAACATCTATATGTCGCCTTGTGTAGTTGTTGGCTGCGACCTACTCATCCCACTCCACCTGCTCGACAGTAAAAAATCTCATGAAAGAACCGGAAAGTTCTATGGTACGAAGTTAGCAAAGGTCAGCAAGATGGTAGGTAGAGGAAGTTGGGGGAGGGGGAGATAAGTCCAAGACATGAGGCAGAAAGTGAGGAGGTTTAGGGTCCCTACTTTGCAAAATTTTAGCCCAGCGGAGTATGTTGCACCCTGTCTGCAAGCTTGGCATCACGTACATTATGAGGGAAACCATCAGGAGTGGCCGTCTGCAAATTGGGTCGCTGAGAGCGGACGATCGTATTTCGTTTGAGGTGAATTTTTTCGAATCTTTCCGTTTTGCCCGCGCTATATATGGCCAGCCCTCCCAGTACGCAGAGAAAATTGTAAATATTAGGTAACAGAACGGGCAATTGAAAGAGAAGGATTCTCTGACACCGCCGATTCACTTATTCCAATGGCATGCATTGTCTTGAAAGGGTCAATATTTCGAGTTATAAGCGTATCATTTCATATACTGCTCAAAAAATATTCCGGCTCAAAAAGTAAAATCGAAGAGAGTCGCGACCCTGGCATGATGCGATCGAGTGTTTGGCATATTATGAGACAAGTAAGCAGATAAAATTAGAGCTAGGAAGAGTAAAATTAAAAAAAAAACAAATGCGGAAAGAAAAAGAATCTTTCTGTACATTAACTAGCGAGATAAAGTGTTATCGAAAATACTAGTCTATCAATACTTCTCGTGGATTCAGAGCCCACGTATGACTGTCCTCCACAACAGTGTCAAACTGATTTATGAGGCGAACTAACGACAAACATAACAAAATTCCCGGAAAACACTTTAGGAAGTCAAGCATCCGTCATAACAAAACAATACAATGCAGAAAAACGCAGGGAGTGTACAAAGTAGTATAAAAAATGACTGGGACATTCACCCCAACATCAGCATATGCACAGTTTTTCACTACTTCTCCAATGGATGGTAATTCAGAAGCTTCTCTATCAAGTCGACATGAGACAACAACATTCGACGACAGCAGTATCGGCGCAAATTCAAGGCATCAAGTGCGTCACCTGGAATTCTCATACTTAACACCAGCCAATCGAATAGAGTTAAGAACAACTAAAGCTACAACTTTGATTACAAAACGAAATGTTCGCGTCGTTTCTCGAAATCACCATGGGTAACGTTTTCGTCCGGTAAGCGCAAAGGGCGGGTTCAGTTTAGCGTGGGGTCAGTCAAGACATTCAGTATCCTTTGACACGGTAAGATTCTAGGGGAGATAGCCCCTAATAACACGACTAATATAGGGGAGCTAGCTAAACTTGAATAGTCCCTACAGGAAAATGAGAATATGACAATGTCCAAGGATTCCACCGAAAATATTGTTTAACATGAACTAGCAAAAAAATCACTGAAAGGGCAAAATGCTCCTCTCAAGTCGAAAAACGCTGAAAATTGTAAATGAAAAAGTTAATACCTTCAGTGTATTCCGCTTGTAAGAGACCAAGATAAGCCTCCCATTTGTTGCCAATCACTTTTCCACATGTGAAGCAGCGAATTGGGATAATCATGGACTCACTGAACTTCTGGAAAATGCTATCGTACATATGGTAGAAATGGAATAATAAACACTGGAAAGCAAGCAGTATCGAGCGACGAACTCAGAATTCACTAATCACACTAAAGGTAAGCGTTTATTTCAAAAACACATGGATCAGTAGTATCAGCTAGATTCTGAATTTCAGCACTAAGTTTATTTGGTCGATTTCCTAGTACTTCTTAACAAATGCAAGGTATCTATTAGTGTACATGTTTGCGTAAATTCTATGGCTTTGTGACATATCTTGTGTATTTATTATTTATTATCTCTGAAATATAGTGTACTCTTGTATTGGTAATGATCTTTGTCAATTGTTGTGATTCCTAGGATTTGTATTTGATTGTGAAATCCTATTCTCATAACCGGTAATTTTGTATTCTATACTATTATACATGTCATACTATAAATTCGTATTTGATTTCATCATATATGTAATAAATAATCACGATTAATGAAATGTTCTGTTTACATCATTTTTAGCGATTAATATTGGCAACAAATTATTTTCTCGTAACTTTTTGTATACTATTCATCATCATAATTATATAAGAAAATCTCAGTGTTGTTTATGTTGCCTTCTATTTGTAGTGTGTTAGGGCACTGTTGCGCGGATTCCTGTTCTAACTCTTTGTCTGCCAAGAATTTATATACCTTGAAATCGATATCTTTGTTGTTCGTTTCTTGCCCTCTTCTATTTATTTTCTCTTAATTATTATATGGAGTTGCTACAATTTGGACTTTATTTCATTCTTTTCTAACTCATTGTTGGGTCGGAATACTATGTGTTATTATTATGTATTTTAGTATTTTATTCATACCTAAGGAATCATATATCGTATTAGCAATTAAGTAATATGTAAATCAAAATTCGATGGCAAAATTCCCTCAATGAATTCCTCGTTGATTAATTCAGTCATATCCATCTTCTCTTATTCTAATTTAAGGATATTGATGAATCGAACTATGATATAGTATATCTATTTTATTTTAGTACCATATATGATTTGTCTCTTTTGTATATAAAGAAGATGGAAAAGACTTTACGAGCTGACGGAAAGGCAGTGTGAAGAAAATTTGCTGCTGCTCGACTTGGAAGACGCTTTTTGCACTAACACAAGCTCATTTTGCTATTTCATGTTGATTGACAGGTTTTACTTTGGTCAGACCTGTAAAATCCCGTGAAGATACGAGAGATTCATGCATGGGAGTGAGCCCATCAGTCACAGGAATTTACTGGTCTTTACAGGGTGACCTTACGAACTCAGCTGAGCATCATTCGGTGCCCCTCCAAGCCGAACTGCGATGAAAAATTTCCGTTCGTATCTATCACAGAGCGCCATCGCTCACAGAGCACAGGAATTATCAGAAACTTAGTTCGTTCTGTTCGTATTGTTTTGCCCTTCGAGGTTCACAAGTGGTTGACCTGAACGGAGTAGGAACGATGGCTGGGGGCGAGCGGTTGCTGCCAGTGTCACTGGTTGGAAGGGCTGTGGGAGGTCGTTTGGCTGCACCCTACTATGCCTTAACCCATGACTTTGGCGACAACCGCCTGCCCCAGCCATCATGCCCTCGAGCGGCGTATTTCATGCTTCTTCTTCGAGACGCTGGCTCTGAGGAAGCGCCGAAACGGTACGCCGTGCAAGAACTGTACCGCCTACAAATTTCGAAAGGCACAACAATATTAACAGATTAAGCTAACATGTTAAGGTTACAACAAGAAAAAATTAAAAACAAGTTCAGTCTTTCAGTAGCCGAGGAACTAAGTTCTTCAATGAGTCGTCAGTCTGAGCATCGCTAACTCGTATAATCATCCGTTGATCTCTAATGATCTCTCCCCACAGATAACGTCGAGAGCAACTAAGGTAAATCCATCATTAACTTTCAATGAATGCTAAAAAAAACAAATCAAGACGCTGGCACTGTTTGACTTGGGAGGGGCATTTTGCACGTTCACTAGTTTTTCTTTTGGCTGAAGTTTTTTAGCTCCCGTCAAAATACGCGTCTCAACTTGGCAAGACATTTAGGCTCTTGGTAGGTGTAAATCAGCTTATGCAATTGCACAGCTTTGCAGGAATTCACAAGTCTACATAGGTGGCGTGGGCAGTGATCGATGAGAACTAAGAACCAGCAAAATGTCCCCACCAAGCCGAACTGCGCCCGGACCGCTTTTCAAACAGATAGAACTAAAACCTCACATGGGACACGTTCCGTGCAGAGGATAAAGCTGTCGCTCACCATTCAAGCTATTCGTGGCTAAACATTTGGCATGAAAGTGTGCTGCGCATGAAAGACATCGGACAAGGTGAGTGAGCTGAAGTGAAATTTAGTCAAGATTTATGCGCATTAAAAGCAATGGGTACGGCGAGGAGGAGGAGGAGGTGGGGGGGGGGTGGGGAATTACTGCCAACGTCATTGGTGGAAGGGCTGAGAGAGATGTGGCCAAACGCCTTCTTGCAGCCCTTCCACTAATGCAGTAGCGGCAGCCCCCCCCTGCCTCCCCCTCCCCGCCACCGTGCCTACCTTCTTCAAGATTATGACTGGAATTAAGTAAAAACTAGTCCGCAGACCTTTTCAATATTGTTACCGCACAGCCGGCATTCTCCTTTTTCAACATAAGCATCCCTCTCTGACAACAGTTCTGTGGACGACTTCTCTATCAATCCGTACTTCTTCAGAACATGCTTAGGAGGTGGAACTTCTTCCGGGAAGGGCAATTCTTCCTTCTGAAGTACAATGTATTCAGTTACGATCACATATTTTGTATCAATAATGGCAGGATAGAGCAAGATCAATATATCAGAAAGAAAAACTGAAATTTCACCGGCAACAACCATCGAAACGTGAGCGCAAACTGATTCCAAGGTCGACTATTCATCAAATGGCATGCAACCCGTAGCCTGAAAATCATACTATTGTGTTTCTCCCACTATTTTCACGTCAATTTTACCAGGCCAAATGAGATCGACACTCAAAAAGTTCGGAAAAAATCACTTCAACAGGAAGAAAGTAATAGTGGTGCTATTTATCTCGAGTAGGGACGGGGGAGACAATCAGAGTACCCCTTGAGCAAAACTGATGCAACGTATAGGGATGAACATTTTTTGACCAAGCAGGAATGACTCCGCTCAGGACGAACTAACTTCTCAGAGTGAAAAGGGGATTTCGCATCAAAGTAATCCAGTAAAGGTAAAGAGGAAGATTTTTCAAGCGTGGGCAGGGAAGGTTCTAGGCCGGCGCTTTTTCAATAATGCAACCTAGCTTCCTCAATTACCTTCAGTAGCCTTCCAGAAAAACTGCATCAACTAGCTCATCCCTGAAAACATAACCGCGCATTCAAAAGAGCAAATTCGAAATGGAAGTCTAAGTTTTTGGTGTATTTTTAAGGAAATGAGGGCACGCTCCGCTATAATGGGGTGGTCAGACGCCTTCTTTGGACATGGTGGTTCTACCAAGCATGGAAAATGTCAACTCCCAACTTAATTCTGAAAAGTACCCTGGTGGTGTGCAGCTCTTTGCATTTTCAAAGGTGAGGCGATACGGAGAATGAACTGACACCAACGAATAAGAACTCTGCTTTTTCTTCACTATTCTTTTGTTCACCACCCTGCCACTGGAATTTGAGCCGCAGACTCACCATTTCTGGACTCGGGCGTGCCTTCAAAGGACTATTTCACCACCTGACATAATTTGAAGTGATAAAAAAATGTAAGTAAAACAAAACCAAAGACAATTCAAATGGGTAGCGTAATATTTTGTCAAGTGATCTTCCAGTACGAAATACAAGATTCAGAAGAAAATTCAGCTCACCTGTACGCAAACGGTGTCTCCTTCTTCCCTTTCTTCAATGTGAGACCTTTGATTACCCGTGATTTTTCAGGATTTTGCCATGCCCATTCAAAACGTAATGCTGCTACGCTATTTGGAAAACCATGAATAATGCACACCATATCCCTGAAAACAACATTCCCCATTACGTCAGCATTGGAGCGAAGTAAGTCTCAACTTAGGCTCACCAAGGTCCCCTATTATCCGTTTTCTTAGCACCACCTTTCTCTCGGCCTCCATTGTGCTGCCGAATTCGTCTGTTTGGATCTACTGTGTAGCCAATATAGCAACGATTCTGAAATGGCCGTCGCGACGATAATGCAAAATACGAGTGGAAATCTTTCTTAAGTACCTTATAGTACGCCAGTTGACTTCCGACTAATAAGGCAATACACACCAAAGAACTCATCCGGGACAGTTCTCGCTGCTTTCGGCTTCTTCTTCTTCTGTGGGCTGATCAATGCTTTTGCTTGAGTCGACTGCATCACTTCGTCGCTGTCAAAAAAATAAACGCCATTTTAGAATTATTGGGATCTACACATAGGCCGAAAGGAGCAGTGGGCAGGACCGAGCCACAACGCTTTTCGGTAACCGCGCCTTCTGAGATAAAGCCTGACCAAGGAATACTTATTTCTTTTTCTTCTTCTTTTCCTTCCTTCCTCCTCTCATCCCTCTTCCGTATTTTCCTCCCTTCGAATGCTTGGCCATGCTATGAGAAAGTACATCTCAGCTTCTGAAATGAGAGAATATCCCGTAAACAGAAATCATGTGACCGTCCCACAGGCTGACGACTGCTCCTCTCCCCTCCCTAAACTACACCAGCTCCCCCAATTCGTTCGAGTTACCGTGATCACATAAACTGAATTAATGAATCCTAACAATACAGTAATTAAACCCCATCAACCCCCTCCTCCGAGAAATGTAAGGAACAAAATCTACAACGACATACCTTCCCTCACCAAGTTCGGCCGAAGTACTGGTTGTGAAAGAGATCGACGGGAGAGGTTGCTCACGCCAAAAGAAAAACGCTTCCCTGGGTCATTTTCAAACGATCTTGGAATACCATCAATTGACGGCACAACCTTAAATAAGGTCAACTGCGAAGTATACGCTACTTTACATGGAGGATAAGTGGCTTACCGCCGCTTCACAAGTAGATTGATCTAGTATGATTATGTCACTACAATCCATTGTGAAAACTGCAAACGCTAGAAATGTTACTGCAAGGTCACGTTCATCATAAGACGGCAGTTCGGCTTGAAGGGGAGGGGGCATTTTGCCTTCTCGTTTCTTCCCATCATCACCTTGCCAAGTGGTCAAATAGAGATCTGCGAGATTTTTTGAAGTCATGAAGCGATACCTGTCGGGAATTCTAAAACCACTTGTAAACTCTTGTAAAGAATACCTGTCAATCTTGAAAAGCAATGAACACGTCGATGGGAAGTAGCGAAGTGCAAAATCCCCCCCCCCCCTCCAAGGCGAACTGCGCCAAACAGAAGATCAAGCAGATATCGCTCGAATAAAGCTTAAATAACAGAGGTAGCAGGAGGCTAACCATCCTCTTCTATCCATCAAGGCTGATATCTCTTATGTTCATTTCACAGCTCATAACATAAACATGCATTCGTAAACAATCAACAGTGCGGAAGTAAGTATACAATAAGCTTACCGAGTATCAGTATCAACACGTAACGAAGAAATACGATCTCATCAAAACAGTAAACACAAACAAGTGATCAACATAACCCGGAGACTAGTAAAGATCAATGAGAAAGCTGAGCAACTTTCTCGAAACCTTCGACACGCATAAAATGAGTCCGCAATTTTTCGTTCAAATTCGAAAGCAGCTGAAATGCAACACAAATAAGAACTAACACATATTAATGGCCTATATGCTCTTCAAAGATGAGAAAAAAAAGCGAGATTGATCCCCACCTTTTCTTCCTTTTGCTTTGCGCCCAAATTCAATAAATCGTTAATGGCGGTCAAGGGTAGCCAAACCCTGGAGTCAATCGACTTAACCTGAAGTACAGAATTTATAGAAGTACTGAAGTACTTCGCCATCGATTTCTGCTTGATTAAGTGGTAGCCAACTAGTAAACCAAAAGAAAAGAGAACACAGTCCGAACCTTCCTAGTTTCTTGATCAACACAATCCAGCGCTACTTTGAGACCTTGAGAAATCGCTCCATATTCAATCAAACACCGCAAATATCCACCAACATCTCGATCCTGAAGAACAATAGGTAATCGATCGCTATTTCTATTGATTTTTCGACATTCGAAGCAGACAGGTGGAACATTTCGTCGTCTTCGAAAGCCGAAGCAAAACAACCGGGACGAATAAAGTCAATACAGTGACGTGTGCATCTCTCATGCATTCTTCGCACAAGATATGTGCAATCGTAATATGCCGTGCTAGTGGGCGTTCCGAAAGGTGGCAAGCCCGACAGACGAGTTGTCCCGTCTATCTAAAGCGACAGAAAGATCCGATATCGCCCGTCATGGAGTCTTATCCTCACTTGAACCCAATCGACAAACTGTTGCACACGATACGCCCCACGTAAGGACGCAACAAATTACGATTGTCCTGTCCTCCCTTCGCACACGTAAGAAAAAGAAAAAGAAAGGGGGTAGGGAGTGTTACGAAGCTGGCGGAAGCTTCACAGTTTGAAAATGACTCTAATGGGACTGAAATCCGGTACTGTTCTTATATAGAACATTTCATTAAGCAATTCCGAAACCGAATCGAAATGCCTAATGCCCCATGGGCGCTCATACTCACCGCATATTCTGCATCCAGCCAGCATGGAACTGGAATCTTGTGAGCCAGAAACGTTCGTGTAACAGCGCGCAACGGGCGTGAATCATTGGGCCAGAGACGTCCTGCAGCTGCCAGCAATCCACGCACTACAGACCAGTGGTTACTGAAAAGTGTAGACAGTGGATTTTATTCTAGTCCTCACAGCAGAGGAGTTCCAGTTTTAATAAAAGCAGATTCCCCCAAAACTCTTTCAAATTTGTAAGACAGCAGAGTTTCGGTGACTGGTTCGAATATTAAAAGAATGAGCGTACCTGGACCCAGTTTTCTCAGCGCGTCGTTGATTTGCTTGTACCCAAGATGGCAAAACGTCGGGTGGATTAGCATCTATCGACATGGCATCTTGGGTTACAGCGCACAGCAGGTCGCACACAGAAACATTGCAATGCCTTCAATGAAGTCAATATTTATTAAGCTATATTCCGAAGTAAAAAGGGGAAGATAAAGAAATCAAGGTCAAGGACACACAGTTTCATTTTGCGAGATGTAGATCCCTCCATCTGGGGAGACGAGAAGGCCCTCAGCCACAGAGACGTAGCATCATCCCGTTCGAAAGCGTAGGGAACGAAGCTGATATTCCGCCCACTATTTGATACACCACATACACGCCGTACGTTATGCGGTCAACCACGAGTGAGGGAACGCAGACAAATAGGGCGTGCGACTAACGCATGAGTGAAGTAGGCGTGACTGTGATGTGCGTCTCGCGTTTCGGGTGGCGGAAGGAGGCATTAAGAACATGAGGCTAATAGATGCTTCTAGATTGTTTGAAGCGCTTTTCCAAATGACGATTACGCTATAGTCCTGCAGGTGCGGACTTTCCCACCTCACACACAAGAGAGATCCCCCTCCCGGGTAGTCGTCGTGTGTGTCCCCAGAGACATAATCCGCGATTACAGTCCATTAACTTCAGAATGGAAGTGAGGATTCTCAGATGCTAGGCTCACCAGTAAGAAAGAGATAGGATAAAACTGCCTAAAGCACCCTGAAAGAGGCCTCAGGATTGATTGGACAAGTATTTCAAGGAGCGAGACACTGCTGCTAAGTGAGAGACCAGAGACAAAAGCTAGAGGACGTGAGGACGGGCTGGAAGGCGTGTGCAACGCACAACTCATGTCACAACTGCGTTGAAATCTACAGGGTCGCTGGCATATCTCGTCCCCCAATGGGTGGGGCAACTTCGACGGGTGGCGTCCCTTCAGTAATGATGACCGTAGCCCCCAGTCGCTTACTTTCGAGACGCTCCTGAGACTCCTGACCGAAGGACTTGTACCAGGAAGGAACTCTACCCCATTAGGTAGTCGAGAAATGCGTCTTTAAATATGAATACCTGCTAAGATGTATGAATACCTGCAAACATCAAACGCGACATCATAGTTTTTAATAGCGATGAGCTTTTCCACTATTTCTTTCGGATCACTAGGGGGAACTTCTCCAGTAACCAGCAGAGCCACACGTGCACTCGCCACCACGCATTCTTCACAAAGTCTGTAAAATCACAGCCTGTAACTTCTGAATATGTCAAAGAGGTATCAGCGGAAATAACCACTCACTCTTCCGCTGTAAGGATGAACATTCGATGTTGGGTAGAAGTACGTTCTGGAGAGACAATATTTAGTTCATCAGCTATGACGTCACTCATAGCCACATCAACCATTTCTTGGGTTATTTCCTGGCCGCTTCTAATTCAT